GTGTAAAATTATTAACACTCAAAAAGTGAGCTAAATAATGACAAATACATTGGGGATGTTTTTTATATTTAATTTTACACTTGTTGCCCCATATGTAAACAGCATACAATATCTGTTTTGACAAGTATCACTGCGATTGTTCAAGTTTTGAACTAAATTGGCTCAAGCAGCAACATAAGTGCATTTTGTCRACTCACTCTTCTCACTGTAGAACCCAATCAGAAGCAAACAAAAGGAGCACAGCTGAGACAACACATGAAATATGAGACATACCATAAATTACATTGTCATCTGCAATCATGAGTGAGGTGTAAACGTGTGTCGTCTCTATTCCATCACAAAYATTGCAACGTTATTTTGCTGAGTCACTTTGAAGGCTCTAGCGCCCCCGTTTTACACAGATTTGCTCAGTGAAGCTGCACRAACGTTTTCTGACAAGGACACTATAAATATTTTAAGTATCTGGGCCCAGCAGTAACAGCAAACTTGCGGTATTAAAATAGATACAAGATGTGGATGACAGAATTTATTGTTACATTACAGCCTTTAAGAAGGTTTTACTTTTTTAAATTGTTTCATTTTTGGCTTTAAGGTTTTATTATCATTTTTTTTACACTGATTCACTTGTGTGGTATTTGGTGTGAGCTGAAAGTATCTAGTTGCAGCCTCAAGKGTTTGTGCTGTGTCTGCTTGTTTTCCACACTCTGCCCCGACTTTTCACAGAAATGTCTCATTAGTTTTTTCTTAGTACYACATCCTGGGATTGCCTTAACAGTTTGAGGACCGTGATATATCATTTGGAGCTGCTGAAGCAGACATTGTAAGATATTTGCCAAATCCTATTTATGGGACCTTTAGGCAACTTAATGATTAAATCATTTTATTTCAYCACACCAATAAAATCACATTTTGTACTTTTATTTTGAATGTTTTTTTTTATTCATTGTTTTCTGCTGCTGTTAAACATYTTTAAAATTATAACTAAGTAGTATTGATTTATAGATTTTTTATTTTATTTTTATTTTTGGACTGATTATATCTAGAGTCATATGCTAACATAGTTACAATTGGCTGGTTGTTATTTAAAAGACTTTATGCAACTAAAAGTAGCAAAGTGGAAGTGGAACCTCATTTGAATGCTTCAAACTAAACTA